GCGGGGCCGCGGGCTCGAGGAGGCGGGTGCGGTCTTGGTCACTGGCCTTGGCACACGTTGTGTGGGGGCGTTAAGGGCTGGTCCGCCCTCCTCGCGGGGGGGTGGCTCCCAAAAGGCACCTTCCTGGGAAGCAATGGAAGCGCACGTGGCCATAGGCTTGAATGGGGGTCTCGTAAGGCAATCTAGCGCTGGACTGAGGTCCCATGAGGGGGAGGGGGGGGCGGTTCTGGAGGCCCCTTAAAAACCTTGGTAACAGAATGAGCAAAAACTGACGAGCCGGGACGCAGCAATTGCAGCCGCCCCGGCTCGCCCCCGACCATGGAGGGAGGCCCCTTCCTTGCGGTGATATCTGTGGTGTAGAACGGAAGAAGGGGGCATTCTGAGGGTCAAGGTGGATTTGTTGGCACCAGGATGTGAAGCATAAGTCTTTCTGGTAGATGGTCTTCTACTGTGAAGAAGAACTGACTTCATGTGGTCAGAGCAGTGGGATTCATCTTCCTGGAATCAGAGAGGAGCCAGGCATGGAGATGATGGAGGGTGTGTGGTTGGGGATGCAGTAGTGTGCCGTGGTGTTGGGACAGGAGATCTTGTCTGGAAGGAAGTGGATACAGTGCTTTGAACAATATGTATTGGAGGGATGGGAACCAGGTCTGCTTGAACCATAACAGTGCTATCAGGATGGCCAGAGATCTGTCTAGTCGTATCTTGAGCAGGACTCTGGAGATGAGTGGCACCAGAGGGAAGGCATAGTGTAGTGTCTTGTCTTATGGGATCAGAAAGACGCTCCCCCTGGAATTGTGACTGAGACCTGCTTGGGAGCAGTATTGTGGGCACTTGGTATTGTTGCTGGTTGCAAAGAGGTCGATAATTGGATAACCCCACCTGCAGAAGGTAGAAGCTGCCACTAATGGATGTAACTCCAACTCGTGGTCTGTGGGAGAATTGCGGTGGAGGGTGTCCGTCATTATGTTGTTGATGCCAGGCAAGTAGGATGCTCTCAGGATAACACGTTGGATACACCAGTTCCAAAACTGAGTGGCCTCTGTGCAGAGGGATTGGGAGCATGCACCCCCCCCTCCCCCCCGCCTGTTTATATAAGGTTTATATAAGGACAATTCATATTGTCCGTGAATTTGCAGACTGTGCGATTGGTAATGAGTTGGGTAAAGTGCTTGCACACATTCCTGACAGCCTTGAGTTCTAATAAATTGATGTGTAGAAGGGCTTCATGCTGTGACCATTTTCCCTGCACAATATAGTGACTCAGGTGTGCACCCCAGCCTATGTATGAGTGAGGTATCCGTGGTGATTTTCACAGAGAGTTCGGGTTGAAGAGAGGGAACCCCGTGAGTAGATTGCAGAGGGTTGTCCACCACCAGAGGGACTGGAGCACATGACCAGGAACAGTAACTGACTTGTGGAGCAGGTGATGAGATAGCTTGTAAGCTGAGGTCAGCCAATGTTGCAGGGAGCAAAAATGGAGATGTGCAAACTGGACAACATGTCGTGGCAGCCATGTGGCCCAATATTTGGAGACAGGTATGAACGGTAGTGTCGGGGTTGGTAGATACCGTATTGATGAGATCGTGGAGGGTATCAAACCGCTGTTTAGGTAAGTAGACTTGAGCCCATATGGAATCAAGGCAAGCCCCTATGAACTCTATTTCTTGGAGTGGATCGGGCATTGATTTCTGCTAGTTTATCAGAAGCCCCAGGTCTTTTTCCAGGAGATGTGGAAAAAGACATCCTGTAGGTCAAGGGCTGCAAACCAGTCCCCTCTGTCCAGTGCGACCATCTTGAAGCACTGTTTTCTCAGTAACTTGTTCAGTTTGTGCAGCTCTAGGATGGGCCTCCAACCTCCTGTGCTATTCTGGGTCAGGAAGTAGGTTGAATAAAACCCTCTTCCCTGATAAGGAATAGGGACCCTCTCTATTGCTCTGATGTGTAGAAGTCGATTGATCTCTTGCCTGAGAAGGGTCTCTTGAGAGGGATCCTTGAAGAGAGATTGGTGAGGTAGAAGTGATGTGACTGTTTACACAGGCTACTCTATCCCAATCTCGAGAATCTACTGGTCTGATGTTACGGTGTCCCAACAATGTAGAAAGGGATGGAGCCTGTGGTCGAATATAAGTTTCTGGCTTGTTGGCACTGGATGATAGTGGAGGTCAGGCAGACCCCCGACCAAGACTTCAAGTTTGCTGTTTAGGGGCTTGAGAAGCTGAGGAACGTGATTGACGTGGGCGCTTTCTCTGGGATTTCTGTCTGAGACAGTTATGGTCATAAGGTTTATGCTGGGGGCAGCTATAGAAGCTGTCTCTTTTCTTGATGTAAGGGAAGTAGCGTCTGCGATGATATGGAGGGGTGCCCATGCCTAATGTGCAGAGGCTTGTTTGGGCGTGCACTGTAGACGCTCTGCAAGTTTTTGCATAAGAACGGCTGTTCTTGTGCAAAAAGTCTGCAGTATAGACAGATATAGCCAAGGTGTTCAGCTTCTGATAGAGTTCATATGGCCAATTTAGTAGCAGCATTAGGTCTGTGTGTGTGTGTGTTTAAAAAAAAAAAAAGTTTTGTTCCTGTCTAGGGCCTGTTCTACTCTGGGGCTATGTCTACACTGGCAGTTTCTTGCATAAGAACTCTTTTGTGGAAGAGTTCTTGTGCAAAAAATCTTCTACAAGAGCATGTCCACACTGCCATGTGCTTTTGCACAAGAGATGTGCTTTTGTGCAAGAGCATCCATGGCAGTATGGACGCTCTCATGCACAAGAAAGCTCTGATGGCCATTTTAACTGTAGGGGCTTCTTGCGCAAGAAATTCATGTTGCCTTTCTATACTACTCTCTTGCGCAAGAGGGCTTATTCCTCATGGGGAGAGGAATACAGGCAGTCCCTGGGTTACGTACAAGATAGGGACTGTAGGTTTGTTCTTAAGTTGAATTTGTATGTAAGTCGGAACTGGTACATATTGTAGGGGAAACTCTAGCCAAACATTTCTCCAGAGCTCAGTTTTATTCTCCCACACCTCACTTCCCTCAGCCCTTTATTCTCAAGCTGAAGTGTCTGCTGAGAAAAGCCGCTCCGTGTCTCCCTGGTCTGCTGGGGGGTGGGGGGTGCTAGCTTCGCTTCTCCCTGGTCTGCTGGGGGGAAGCAGCTAGTGTGGGGTTGCCTCACCGCGTTTGTAAGCAGGGATCCGATGTAAGTTGGATCCATGTAACCCGGGGACTGCCTGTAATATGCCGAGTATGAGAGAGCCACACAAATGAGGGCACAGTCCCTGCTCAAGGTAAAAACTTAGGTCATAGTTAATGAGCTGGTAGATCCCAAATAACTGTAAATGATGAGAAAATGCATTAAGACTATTTTATAAGTAAGGGTTGCAGAATCAGGTCACTTGTTAATGATTTCAGATGTAGTTCATAGACTTCTCCCATTCAAACAATCCCCCAGAGTTGTCTGAACCACAACACTGCAGGCAAAGTCTCTATGGAGAATAAGCCACCCTAGCAATTGAACTGTGAAAGGTATGCAAATTTACTTCCAAGTGGTGGATTTTTCTCATAGTAATAAAATGTTGGAGTTGCTGTTGTCCCTATTTTAATATACAGCCCTAAAGAAACCGTGTATGTAAACATTTAAATGAGTGGCATAGGCAAAAGAGCCTTATGTCTGGTTTTTAAACTAAGATGAATCTCTCCTTAATTAATCAGAAATGTCTTCAATTTGTTCTGTCGACTGTGTAAAGATTGAGAGTAGGATCGTCTATTAATATGCTGTCTTTTATGTTCTGCTTGGCAATAGACTAGAAGCCATACTTATAAGCAAAGCCTCCGGGAGGATGAAAACAGAAGACTACAGGAAATGAAAGCAGAACAACGGAGGAAGGTAACATGTTAATTGTTTTTAAAATAACAATTAACCTTATAGGCGCTAGCTAAAATGGGCATCGGAGCTTACTTGGGCAAGAGAGCGTCCACACTGCCATGGATGCTCTTGTGCAAAAGCACAGCTTGCACGTGGCAGTGTGGACGTGTTCTTGTGCAAGATGTTATTGTGCAAGAAACGGCTAATGAAGACATAGCCTATGAGTTTCCTCCCATGAGCAGAATGAATTTTGTGTTGTACACCAGTACTGAGTTCATGTGGCTTGTTTGGATGTGCCACTGCGGTTATTAATATTTTTAAACCTATACCTTTTCTCTCTGCTGCCATGTATCCTCCCCTTGCTCCATCAGCTCCCCTGCTGTCTCCCGCCCCCAACCACTCACCCTCCTCTGCTGTCCTGACTCCTGCCCTTCTCACTGCCCTTAGCCTTCCTGAGACCTGCCCCCCTCCACCAGCCCTTCCTCCCCCTTGTGCCCACTCCTCCAGTAGCCCCACTCTGATCATGTGAGCTACCCCTCCTCATCCCCTCTTCTAACACCTCCCTCTATACAGCTGCCCTGCCTCTCTCCTCTAGTGCTGGTCCCTCCCCTGCAGGTGTCTGCCCTTCTGCTTCACCCCCAGAATCCCCTGGCACCTGCACCTTCCCTTACCCCTGCACTCTCCTGGTGCCTCCCCCTTCCCTCACTGCCCCTGCCCCTTTTTCCCTGATGCCCACCCCTTCACCACCCTCTGCCCCCATTCCTCTCATGCCCCTCTGTGCCCTCACACATGACTTGGTCCATCCCCACCTTTCTCATGCCCACCCCTTTTTTCAAGCCTTCTCCCAGTGCCTCCCCCTCCAGCCCTCAATGGTAAACTGGACACAATACTCCAGCCCTCAAAACTGGACACAATACTCCAACTGAGGCCTAACCAGCGCAAAGTATAGCAGAAGAATGACTTCTCATGTCTTGCTCACAACACACCTGTTGATGCATCCCAGAATCATGTTTGCTTTTTTTGCAACAGCATCACATTGCTGACTCATTCAGCTTGTGGTTCACTATAACCCCTAGATCCCTTTCTGCTGTACTCCTTCCCAGACAGTCGCTTCCCATTCTGTATGTGAAACTGATTGTTCCTTCCTAAGTGGAGCACTTTGCCTTTGTCCTTATTAAACTTCATCCTGTTTACCTCAGACCATTTCTCCAATTTGTCCAGATCATTTTGAATTATGACCCTATCCTACAGAGCAGTCGTAACCCCTCCCAGCTTGGTATCATCTGCAAACTTAATAAACATATTTTCTATGCCAATATCTAAATTGTTGATGAAGATATTGAACAGAGCCAGTCCCAAAACAGACCCCCGCGGAACCCCACTTGTTTTACCTTTCCAGCAGGATTGTGAACCATTAATAACTACTCTCGGAGTATGGTTTTACACCCACCTTATAGTAACCTAAGTTATATTTGCCTAGTTTATTGATAAGAATATCATGTGAGGTTGTATCAAATGCCTTACTAACGCCTAGGTATACCACATCCACCCCTTCTCCCTTATCCACAAGGCTCGTTATCCTATCAAAGAAAGCTATCAGATTGGTTTGACATGATTTGTTCTTTACAAATCCATGCTGGATGTTCCCTGTCACCTTGCCATCTTTTAAGGCTGTGTCTACATTGGCAAGATTTTACACAAAAGTGGTGGCTTTTGCGCAAAATCTTGCCATCTGTTTACGCTGGCCGCGAGTACTTGCGCAAGAACATTGACATTCTAATGTATAAAATCAGTGCTGCTTGCGCAAATATTCTGACGCTCCCGCTCAGGGATAAGCCCTCTTGCACAACTGTTTTTGCGCAAGAGGCCAGTGTAGAAAGGCAACGTTACTTTCTTGTTCAAGAAAGCCCGATGACTAAAATGGCCATCGGAGCTTTCTTGCGCAAGAGTGTGTCTACACTGTCATGGATACTTTTGCGCAAAAGCACATCTCTTGCGCAAAGGCACATGCCAGTGTAGATTCTCTCTTGCGCAAATACTTTAATGCAAAAACTCTTGCGTTAAAAGTATTTGCACAAAAACTTGCCAATGAAGACGTAGTCTAAGTGTTTACAGATGATTTCCTTAATTACTTGCTCCATTACCTTCCCTGGCACAGAAGTTAAACTGGTCTGTAGTTTCCTGGATTGTTCTTATTTCCCTTTTTATAGATGGGCACTATATTTGCCCTTTTCCAGTCTTCTGGAATCTCTGCTGTCTCCCATGATTTTCCAAAGATGATAGAGGACATATCTGAGCCTCTAGCGATCAGCTCCTTGAGTATTCTAGGATGTATTTCATCAGGCCCTGGTGACTTGCAGGCATCTAACTTTTCTAGGTGATTTTTAACTTGTTTTTTATTTTATCTTCTAAACCTACCCCCTTCCCCACTAGCATTCACTATGTTAGGCATTCCTTCAGACTTCTCAGTGAAGACCGAAACAAAGAAGTCATTAAGCATCTCTGCCATTCCAAGTTTACTGTTACTGTTTCTCCCTCCTCACTGACAAGTGGGCCTAATCTGTCCTTGGTCTTCCTCTTGCTTCTAATGTATTTATAAAAGTCTTCTTGTTTCCCTTTATTCCCGTAGCTAGTTTGAGCTCATTTTGTGTCTTTCCCTTTCTAATCTTGCCCCTGTATTCCTGTGTTGACTATATTCATCCTTTGTAATTTGTCCTAGTTTCCATTTTTTATAGGACTCCTTTTTTATTTTTAGATTATGCAAGATCTCGTGGTTAAGCCAAGGCTGTCTTTTGCCATATTTTCTATCTTTCCAACACATCAGAATAGCTTGCTTTTGGGCCCTTAATAATGTCCCTTTGAAAAACTGCCAACTCTCCTCAGCTGTTTTCCCCCCTCAGTCTTGATTCCCATGGGAACTTACCTATTAGCTCTCTGAGCTTACCAAAATCCGCCTTCCCGAAATCCATTGTCTCTATTTTGCTGTTCTTTCTATCCTTCCTTAGAATTGTGAACTCTGTGATTTCATGATCATTTTCACCCTAGCTGCCTTCCAAAAAGATAGTTTGCCATTTCTTTCAAGCAGGGGGTGAAGGGTGTTGGGATGAGTGTGTTAATGGGATGCTGACAGGTTTCCAGAATCACCTATTGCACGCTCTCTGATGAGGCACTTAGGAACCTAATCCAGAACGCAAAGGGGGAGCAGGAGCTGTGAAATAGCTACCCACAGTGCATCACTATCAAAGTCAATGGTAACCATCCTATTGGGGATGCACTACATCAAACTCTTGTACGTAGTGGGGACACGTACCTTCGACTTTACAAAGTTGGGTGCTAAAAAAAAAACCTGTCCTTAATAAATTTGACTTTACCTCTGTGTAGAGAAGTCCTAGAAAGCCTCACATGACAATAAAAATCAGGCTCTTCAGAAGGTGAGAGGAACAAATCTTTATTCTGGAAAAGAGCCTCTCTGATGAGGAATGGAAATAATAAAAATTGTTCTGATTTTCTCTCCCCCATGAAACACCAATATCGGAATTGCCATTGTACTGCTGTCTATTTTGGTCTCCTGTTCATCAGCGGCTTCTTCTTAGACACAAGTTTTCAATTTGTCTCCCACTCTAGTCTTAAAACCCCTACAACTCATCTGACTTCTACCAGCAGAGGATTCCAGTCCTCAAAATATTTATAATCTGTGCCCCGAGTGCTGCCAATTTCAACATGTGATGGGGATCTCCTTCTCTTTCATGTGCAAGAAGACTATGCTGAACATGAAGAGGCCTATCATCATGGAGAAGGCACTGGCATAATATGGATATGCTGAGGGGATAAAACGCTCATACTGTGTGTGTTGGAGGGGACGTACAGACACCTAGGAGAGAAGAGAACATGAGCTGGGTCACAGGAGCCAAGTGTGTGTGGCTGGAGTATCTCAGCTCTATTTAACTTACACTCCCATTTGGCCAATGCCCTACTCAGATAACTATAGAACCAGATTACTGGAAAGATAAATGTACGGTGCTCCTAGAAGTGCTTTATAAACAATAGGATGTGATCAATCCCATTTTTTTTAAGCTCCAAATCCTCAATATGTTGGCAAACCTTAACCCTCACTAAAGGCAGCCTTGGGAAGTGTCCAGCATTGCCTTCAGACAAGATTGTGTTTAAGTATTTAAAAAAAATCCATCTCTACAAAGGCTTATTTCCAGGCCTTCTTGAATATTACTGAAGATAGATTTGAAAGATCTTAGTCTGTCTCCCATTTCACACACACAGGAAGGCTGGTCACCAAGAATCAGGTGATAGCAACTCAAACATTTGCAAAGCTTGAGTACCTGACTTGAAATCTTAACCAGTGCTCTTACATTTCCTACCACACAGGCAGAATGTAAGTCACACTATTTACCTGGGTAGAGGAGTACAGATGAGTGTATCCCAGCCTGTTGTAATCCACTTTAAACTGAAACACTCCATATACATCCGGCAGTTTGAACTGCACACTATATCTGCCACCTAGGAGAAAGGCACCACCATTAAAAATTATACAACAAACAGAACAGGAGCATTACGTGTTAAGATCCTCACCTTCTCCCATGTGTCACAGCTCTTTCTCTCCCCAAACCCACCTTGTCCAATTTGACTAGGCTCTGGAACCCAAAGCCACTCCATTGGAGAGCTGTGTGACGGCACATTCCCTCTGAACAGCATGCTTCCCACAGGGATTAGCATTCCAAGTCAGTACGTAGGAGCAAGGTGAGTTTCAGTGGTGGGAAGAGGAGAAGTCAACACCTAGTTTTGTGTTATTGTGAACAAAGCCCTGTGCAAGAAACATTAACTGTCCAATAGGAGATTGGAAACGTACCATTTTTTTTCAGAAAAGTCCTTACAAATGGATCAATGCGGACAAATTCCAGCTGAATATCATCTCCATCAAAGGGGATCCACTTCCCATCAGAGAGCTTTTCAATCACAATGCTGTACTCCTGTAACATACAAATACACGCTGCATTAGAGGCATAAGAGGACCATGAGTAAGGCCTACCAAATTCACAGCTGTGAAAAAACACATCAAGGACTGTGAAATCAGCCCTCCCATGTGAAACACAGCTATTGGAGGGGACAGACAGGGCAGGCAGCATCCCAGCTGGGGTCTTCTACCATTCATTGGGCTGAAGCTGCTAGTCTGTGGGATAGGGGAGGCATGGGATTTCTTCTCCCCCTGCATGGTCACTTGGGGCACTGGGGGAGAGGAGCAGACCAGACACAGCTCCAGCTACCTCCCTCAGCTGTAGGAAGCACTGCAGCTGTGACGTGCAGCAGTGAGCGTAGTAATCCTGTGATTCCCTCACCCCAGTGTATGGTTACAGAAAAAGGCCTTGTACTTATTGTAAGACTAGCCATATTGGAAGGCTGAGGTCCTGGGTGCCAGCCATCTTCTTTCCAACCAGAAAAGGAGATAAATCTGCTTCCACAACACTTGTAGCCCAATAAACAAGAGTATATTCTCTCTGCACATGTCTATTTAACTCATCTGTCTACAGTCAGACTTACGACCAGGTCGGTGACAGTGTAGGCATTAGGTGGGGACGTCTCCCCAACACGATGGTGAGATACCTCTCCAACCCGCAGTACACCCTCTTCTTTGAATACCCAGCGGGACAAGGCAACAGCAAGCTCATAGTTACCAGTCTGAGAGTACCTAGAGATGGGGAGAGGTTGAGAACAGAAGCATCATGAGACACTACATCGGGGGGCATTCATAGGACCAAACATGTTTTTAAATCAGGAATCCTACAAAGTTTCTAAGTGCCATATCAGACAGTCAGTACCCATTTAAAATGATCACATAGGGTCCTTCTGGAAAACTAAGATCAAGATATTTATATTGGAGACAGCTATATGGATTAGCAAGCTTGGCAATTTGCGCTGCACTTAAAGAAACATCCATTTTCTTTAACATCATAATCTAGTGAGTGTAGATTTTACTGTAGCAGGGCTAGCTAGCTATACAATAGTAATCCGTATACTCCCATCAGTTGTCTTCAACACAATTAGTTCTTCACCTTCCAGAGAATCGTGGACCAAAAAAGAGGTAGAAAAACCTGAATGGTCTGCCCTGCCTACATAACACTATGTTAAGCTAGTGCACCTTTGAGAGCCAGGTGTAGCTTTCTGCACAGCAGAGTTGAAGAAAGCATCACTGAAGAAATCCAAAGAGCCGCTGAAAACGACACGGGCATTGTTTCTGGCCTGGAGACCAGCAATCAAAAGGGTATTCTTCCCAACAGCATGAGGGTACTGAAATAGGACAAAAAGCAGATTTAAACCAGTACTAAGGATTTGTATGATAATAGCATCTTGAGGCCTCAACAGATGGGCTGGGTACTCTACAGACAACACACATAGTTAGGATGCTACATTGTGTTTCATAGCATCCTAGGGCTGAACCTCAGGAGATCATCCAGTTCAGCTCCCTAGTTGATTAGTGGATAAGGGGGGGGAAATTGCAGAGCTGCAGTGGGGTTGGCTCTCAGCCCCAGGAGCTAACCCTGGTGCATCTCTGCCTTTTAAATGTCTTAAGAGCCAGGCAAGAGTTGGGACACCTGATTCCCAGCTTTTGCCCAGTCCCCTGCCTTCCCTGCCTCCTCCAGAGACAATGCTGAGGGGAACCAGCTTGTAAGACAGCTCTCCCCAGCACTGGCTCCTGCTCCTCCACCTTGCTGTCTCTGTCAGCCAGCTTATGCTGATCGGATAGTCAACTAGAC